TATGCAACAATGGGAATCCTAGGGTACATGATGTACGGTTCAACATTGAATTCCCAAATAACTCTAAACCTTCCAAAGGAACACTTAAGCTCAAAAATAGCAATCTATATAGCGTGGATAACCCCTCTTACCAAATATGCTTTATTGATGAAACCCGTGGCAACCACAACCGAGGCGTGGCTCCCGCATAGATACCAAGAAAGGAGATTAGTCAAGATAATATTGAGAACTCTTTTAGTTACTTCACAGGTCATATTGGGTCTCTCGGTTCCATTTTTTGGAGACCTAATGTCCCTAGTTGGAGCCTTATGTAGCGCAACAGCTTCTATCACGGCTCCTTGTGTGTGCTACATGAGGATTTCAAGAATTGAACGGAAGTCCATTGAGGGAGTAGTGATTACGGTGCTTACTGCTTTAAGTATATTGCTTGTTGTAGCTGGTACCTATACTGCTTTGGACAATTTAGTAAAAAATGTTTGCATTAGCAAACATCATTAAATGATGTTGTAGAAAATAGTATAATGATTCAAAATTTTGAACTTTAAGCACAAGTATATTCTGAGTATTTTCAATGACGTTTGTTGGACTTTTTAAGATTATGGTAGACTGAAACAATTTGATAGGAAAAATAAGAAAAGAATACCGTATGAAAGATAAATTCTTTTTGTTGGGTAAAAAGGGAAAAGAAAGAAAGATGGAAAGAAAAGAAAATATGGGAAAACAACAAACTAAAAAAGAGAATCCTCAAATTTCTTCTAATTTTGTGCGGAAAAGGAGAGGAACCGAGCTAGTCAGTATAGTAGCAACCGATTAGTTGTTCAGTTCATCTCTCCCCACTACTACAAAAATTACTTTTTGAATCGATTGTTGATAATAATTGATTCAATAGGCTATTGAATTGGTTATTACTAAGAAGGGAGAAAGACCAAACTAGGACTAAAACATTGAAAATATACCAAAATAGGACTTTCATGTTTTTATTCCCGAAATAGGACTTACATTACCAAACATGATCATATACATTTCCAAAAAGTATAGTAATTTGCACATGCACACTACCACATTACCACAATGCAAAGTCCTATTCCGAGAAAAAAAACATGAAAGTCCTATTTTGGTACTTTTCTCTATGTTTTAGTTCTATTTAGAATGATTTCTATACTAATAACACTGGCAGCGGGCGAGGCAAATGTCTGTCACGCTTTCTGCCACCAAGGCACCCCACACCTCTTTTTCTTTTTTTCTTTTTTTCTTTTTTATTTTTTTTATTTTTTAGTTTTGAGAAAAAAAACTCTTTTTTGTAAGTAGCTTAAAAGTATTTTTTTAAAGAAACAAATAGCAAAAATAATTTTTAGTAATTAAAATATATTACAAAAATTCAAAAAAGTGACAAAAGTAACTACTTGCCATTGTAGGGTGTGGCACTCCACTCACTTGACACTATGTGACTGAACCATTTTTTATAATTGGTTGATTTATGTCATGTCAGCACGTGTCATTCTTTTTTTTCTTGGCATTATTCATGCTCTAATAACTGATTCAATTGCTACCGGTTGGCGAACAAGCAATTGAATCGGTTATCAGTAATAACTGATTCAAAATATAGTCTATTGAATTGGTTATTACTAACAATAGATTCAATTGCTTCCGGTTGGTGAAATCAACAACCCCATTTGCATCGATTTGACTTTTTTTTGTAGTAGTGCCGCCTTAACCCTTCTCGCTCAATTTCTCCCTCTTTTAAGTTGCAGGGTATAGATACGGTAAAACAAATTTAATACCAACATAAGTTGATGTGGCATTTTGGCAAAGAAGATAACACCAATTCTTAGTATTGGTACCAAATTTAATCAGTAAAGGTATCTATTATGTTGCCAAGCATGCTGGACGAAAATTGTTATCGTCTAATGGTAATTTTATGTAGTATTCTTTGTATTGTTTTTTCTTTAAAGAAATTCTTTCTAGTGTGTTGCCAATTTTATGCAGTACTGTTGTTTACTTTAGTTAAAAAAAATATTTTTATTTTATAGCGTTTGTCTATGTTAATAATTTGAAAGATATTTTGAATTTTTAAAAAAAGGAAATGTATTATTAAATCATTGTAACAAAATGTGTTACATTTTGATAATGATATTTTAAATTTAATATATGATACTTGCAAAATTTAATTATTTAAAATGTATTCTAAAATTAATTTATACTAATAATGTAAGTCAAGTACTTAAAAGATAGTTGTAGTAAAAAAATGAAATAAATAGAATTTCATGTGGCGCTAATGTTGAGGAGAGATGATGGTGTTAAAAATTATAAAAGATTTATATACCTTACATCCTTAGTCATATACGAGTAGTTCAAAGATCGGATTAAAGCATAGATTTTCAAAACAAAAAAAAGAACTAAAAACAAAGATTATGGCAACTACAAAATGTCTGTGTTGTACGAACAATTTGTGTGTTTGTGTGTCTGTGTTAGCATGGTGTACAAATGGGGTACCCCATATTGTGTGCCCCTAGCATTGCCCTTTAAAATTACTACTCACTTGATTAGGGCTCTTCATCGGCCCAAGATTGGACGGAACCAGATCGAAACGGACTGTCCCAGATAAGACCGAAGACCAAATTAAATAAAATCACGAACTGCAGGTCGGAACTAAAACTATTTCGGTTTGGACGGGTCAGACCAAAAAAAAAGAAAAGAAAAGAAAAGAAAGTAGGTGTGGGAATAGGAAGGCTTAGCAAAAGAAAGTTGATAGTGTCCTTGGCTGCATGCATTAAATCGTTTCCTAAAGGAACTTGGTGTAGGAGCGATGGTTTGAGGGCAAAACACCTACATTTTGGAAACTTTATGTGGGGATGGGCCTCCTTTTGCTACGTACTGATCTATTAGGTATCATCACTGCAGTGTGGTTAATTTATGGTTGGGAGGGAGATGTTTGTCGAGTGTCGTCCGTGCCAGAGTTTGTTGCATCTGCTACTCGATCTTACGCCGCTCTTAAAGCCTGTCTACGGGATCCGACCTATGCCTGTCGCCATGGTTTCCAAGGTCTCTATGAAGGATTTTGGTAAAGATATGGCCAAGTGTTAGGATATGTGCTCTTCACTAGGGGGATGAATAGTGAGGTCCCGAGAATGTTGATGAACTTTAAAAGAGTAAAAATTGCATGGATAAAGTAAAGTTTGGAACCAAAAGTGCAAGGAAAGAACACACCGTATCCTTTATATATATTATTCGAGACTCGGGCTCACAGAATGTCGACATGTGGCGGGTCTACTTGGCAAGTTTTTTATGAGTCATCCGCCACCTTTGAAGAGTTTAATGACTTGGCACTTTTATATTAAAATATAGAAAGATCCAATTCTAAGTATCAAAATTACTTATTTTGACTTCTACCTCAATACTTCTCCCTTTTAACTATTATTGTCATTTGAGTTTACTTTCATCTTTTTTTATTGTGTATTCTAACGTCTAACATTTGATAATTTTAAAAATAATTAAAATTTTGATTCTAGGCATTAGATTATCCTAGTTTATACTAGTTCATCACAAGTTCTAGCTAATCCAGTCCCCTGAGAAACTCTCTCGAAGGTCCTTCTAACTGCGTTAAGCTCATGAGTGTTTAACAAATCAGTACAACCTGAGAACTCGAGTCACACGAGCCTTAACAACACTTGCTCGAAGATATCGCACTCCAAGACTTCAGCCGCTTGGACTTCTCGCTCAAGATTTCAACCACTAAGATTATAGATTTTTAGCAAACCCAACGCTCAGTGAGAAGAATTGATCTTCTCAAACCTCTCTATTACAATATGAACTCTCTATGAACAACACAATGTTATCCATCAAACGACTCAACGAAAGCTCTAAATTTGATGCACAAATGATATGAATAGAGTGATATAGAATGGGAGGTGTTGTTCTTGCAAAAGCATGGCCAAAGGCTGCAATTTATAGGGTATGAGGAGGGGTGACCATTGCTTATCAAGATCAGCATTAACTTTACAAGATCGCACTAACGATGACGAAGACTTAAAAAATAGTTCAGTCGGTCTTCATGTGATCAAGATAGGCATTAACTTTACAAACTTGGCTCTCTAGGTTAAATTCATTTAGATATTTTTCATCCATCATTAAAATCATTTTCATATGTTTCTAATAAGCTAAAAACACTTGGAGTTCGCTAAAACCAAAAATCAAGTCTTCCGGTGTTCGGCTTTCGGTCATGGTCTTTGGCGTCTGAACCAACCAAGTAGTTTTTTACTTTTTATGATTGGTTTTTAGTTCTCGGCATATTTAAAGAGTTCTCCAACAAAAACATATTAAAAACCACATTTCATTTTTGGTCTTTTGGCAAAACCATGTGAAACGACATAAACTTAGCTAGCCGTAGTTTTTACCTTAATGATGTAGTTTTTAAGATATTTCACTTGGTTTCTTAGTCAAATACATTAAATAAGTGTTTTCAGCACTTGGTTATTAAATTGGAGAACTTTGATTTTTGACATCGATTTTTGGCATTTACCAGTAGCCATGGCTCTAGCAAACCAGCCCAACAGCGATGTTGAACATGCCAACAGCGTTGTTTGGTGTTTGCACCTATTTTTGCTTCCTTGATCATGATTATGATTTGTACAAATCACCCTTGATAAGACTAAAACATAAAAAAAAGTACCAAAATAGAACTTTCATGTTTTTATTTCAAAAATAGAAGTTCATATTGTAGTAATGAGGCATTGTACACATACACATTACTATACTTTTTGATATTTTTTACCAATGTTTATGATATTTTTTATTGAAACATTTTATATTATCCCTTGGTTTTCTTTCTTCATGCAAAGTTATAGACATACTAATGAGGATATTCAATTCCCAACAAACTTAATAGGTGTGTTCTCATTAATTTTGAAATAGATTTTATACTGTATTTTCTGATTTTTTATGCACACCTTGCCCTTTTACAATCAATGAAATTCACTTTTCAAGATCTGATTTAAAAACGGTTACCAAACAAGGCCTTATTACTAATGATAAGGATAAACAAATGTTATTGATGATTAATGTCCCTGACAAACAAATATACAAGCAAAGTTTGGCAAGACAATGAAAACCATTTCCTTCCCCTCCTCCTCTTAAGAACAAATCCATCACCAAACACCACTCCTCTTCTTGGAGCCATAGTAACTCACATACCACTTGACAAACTTCTTGAGCCCGGCCTCGAGATCGGTCGCGGGCTTGTACCCGATCTCCCTCTGGGCGAGGGAGATGTTGGCGTGGGTGAACGGGACGTCCCCGTTCCTCGGCATTGCCACCACCTTCTTCTTCGCCTTCGCCTTCAACAGCTTCTCCAAGATGCCCACCAACCGCCCCACCGGGACCGGGTTCGTGTTCCCCAAGTTGTACACCCTCAGCTGCGCCGCCTCCTTCTTCTTCCCCCCGCCGCGGGCCCCCGTGCTCTTCCTCGCCGTGTCCAACGCTCCCAAACACCCTCTCACCACGTCATCGATGTACGTGAAGTCCCGGGCCACCGAGCCCCGGTTCTCGGTCTCGAATATCTTGATCTCCTTTCCCCTCAATATGTCCTTTGTGAAGCTGAAGTAGGCCATGTCGGGCCTTCCCCACGGGCCGTACACGGTGAAGAACCGCAGGCCCGTGATGGACAGCCCGTGAATGTGGTTGTAGGTGTGCGCGATCTCCTCGCCCGCCTTCTTCGTGGCGGCGTAGAGACTCGCGGGCTGGTCCGTTGGGTCGTCCTCTGAGAATGGGACTTTTGAGTTCAGCCCATAAACGGAACTGGACGAGGCCCAAACAATGGCTGGCTGAGGGTTTGCGTCTTTGCAGGCCTCAAGAAGAGTCACGAACCCGGCCACGTTGCTGTGGACGTACGAGGACGGGTTTTGCATCGCGTAACGGACTCCGGCCTGGGCGGCCAGATGCATGACGTGGGTCAACGGGACGGCGTCGAATAGCTTCCTCAGCAAAACGGCGTCGTTTATGTCAGCTTCAATGATGTAGACACCGGAACGCTCTAGGAGGGATTTCCGGGCCCGTTTCAGGCCGATTTCGTAGTAAGGGTTGAAATTGTCGATCCCGATCACTCCGTCTCCTCGCCGTTTGAGGGAGAGGGAGACGTGGGACCCGATGAATCCGGCCGCCCCGGTGACCAGGACTGAGAGGCCTTTCTTGGACCGGGGCAGAGCGGATGCCCGGACACGGCGCTCCCAGTTCGGGCCGAGATGGGCGGTCTGCGACGGCGCAATCGAGTCCGCCAGATTGCGGCGGTTACTGCCGGGATTCGCCGGCGGGGAACAAAACAAAAACAGGAGAATTAGGAAGACGAGAACGAAAGATCCGAGACTGAACCTTGGGAAATAGGTGGGGTGGAATCGGAGCCGGTAGAAATTGTTCTTCTCCGTCTTCAGCTTCCCCGGCGTCGATGGCAAGGCGTCGAGATGAGACAGCCCCGACTTCGATTGAGCCATCCTCGAGTTCTCCGGCGACGGAGAATCACACAACCCGATGAGACCCGAACCGCAGAATCCTTCTGCCGGAGTTTACTGTGCAGCGCCGCTGTTTGGGGCGGCGCAGACGAGGTTTTTTGCTTCGATTTTTGAGGCGGAGGAGAGATCTTACGGGAGAGTGTGGGCGGCGCGTTATAAAATTGGGGGAGATGAAAATGGGAGAAAATTTTGGGGCTTTAATTAAGGATAAAATACATTTTCTACGAAATTACGGTTACAGTTTTGAATAGGTCTATTTGATCATTTTGATGCACTAACATTACGCAATCCCAAAAGGGAAAATATCTTTTCCCCAATTTTTGTATCTAAATTATTTTATAATCTTTAGCTTTATAATAATTTTATGGACCGTGCTACAGTGCACCCACCCCTGCCTCCATTGCTGCCTATTTAAGATGTTTTTTATTTTTTCTTTCCTCCCTCCGGCTCTGCTCTTCTACGCCAGTCAGCCGCCCACGACCTCCTCTGCCTTCTGCGCTCTCCTTCATACAAGGAAGGTAATATCTTTTTTTCTTATCTTCCTCTTCATATCAAATTCAGATATCCATAAATTGAAAATTGCAAATTGCAGATCAGATAGATTCTTCATCGATCGGACACACAACAAAAACATATAGCAGTCACGGTAAGAGACGTCTCCGGGGCTGCTAGGGTTTCAACCCTAGCCCCGGCACTATTGACGATGATGCGATCAGCGACAAGGATGAGGGAGGGAGCAACGTAAGTATGGAGTGGCGACCAGCGATTCCCGACGATGATTCAATGGCGATTACAACGCCAATCTAAGAAAAAAATCAGGCGCCTATGGTTATTTGTGGGTATAAACTCTAAATTGATATTGTTCTGTATATTCTTCTTCTTAGTCTCTGTTCAATTTCGGTTCATTGTATATGTTTTAGGATTTTGGACAGATTCAAACTCAAATTGATAATTAGTGGATTTAGTGGATTTAAAGTTTCATGGTTAATTTGAGTTAATTGACAGTTTTGAGTTGGTGACAGTTGGGATTGACGGAACAATTCTCATATTAACCGAAATTTACAATTTCAATACAAGTGTACTTAGTTGATGTAAAATATGATTAAAGTGTTTTTTACAATTATGGAATGATAACTCAAAGCTAAGTCATTGCATATAATGAAATATTATTATCTAGATTTTTGTTTGCATTGGGTTCAGCATGCAATAAGTCTTATATTTGATTTTATCACTTTCAGGGATAAAAACTCTAAAGATCTGAGGGAGACTTCTCATTTTCTATCTACTGGTTTATATCATTTTGAGGTGCAGAGGCTTGAGCACATTAGATTTCCTTTGGAACCTATCTTTGGATATGCTTGAGATTGGTCATGAGTATAAGTATACTGAGTGCACACTACTCATTTATGGTTGAGAATCAATAGCTAAATAGTTTTTTATCAATGCAATATGTTGTTAGATCAACACAATCGGTTTCTTCAGGCCTTGGCCCTTACTTTGGTTACTGGTTTTGCTTGTGTTTTTACATTGTATGGCTTGATATTTAGACCCCATTGTATATTCATTTGAAGTAGTGTAAAAAAATGGTTTGTTTTGGTGTTACAGAGATTAAAGTTCTGTGAACCTAGAGTTTGTCTTTGTCACAGATGCTAATAATCTGTATGCACTCTGCATTTGGTGTATATTTGTTTTCTTCATAGTCAGACATTGTATTCTGTTAAAGGTAATGTTTTTTTGCAGCTTTTGAACCAGATTTGTTTCTTAACGATCCTTTATTTCAATATTTATTTAACCACGAAGGGCAAGAACAGGCGAGTGGTGAGATCAGATAGAACACAGATGAAATTAATGTAAGCACCATGAAATCTAATGTATGTGTTTTAACTTTCCTTTTACCTTTACAAGACCCCCACTTATGTGATAAGATTCTGAAGATGGTGTATGTACATAATGTTATGTAACTCTGTCATCACATACATTAAAACTCTATGTAATGAGTAAAATAAACAGTTATTATCTGTGAGGTCTCTGAAAGTAAATCTGTAATTCAGTCATAAACTAATGTAAATCAGTCATCACACACATTAACAAATTGTGCATTAACACGTAGAATTTATGATGATAAAAGCCCCATTACAAAGCTTTCAAAAAAATCTAAAGTGTTTCCCCAAAAAATACATTACAAAGCAATCAAAAATAGCAAGTAGACATCTTTCACAGACAATAATGTTATATGATGTTCAAATGACAGATCTTAATCGTCTATGAGATACAATTCACAGAAAGCAATCAAACCAGCAGACCTCTTTCACAGACAATAATGTTATATGAAGTTCAAATAAATGAACTTAACCATCTATGCCATACAATTCACACAGTAAGCTCTACTTTCTATTGCAATCTGTCAATCTCTTCATTTCATTTTTAGTCAATTTCTATAGCAATAAGTTCACTACAAAAAACTGCTGAAATGGCGACGGAATAATTCCGTCTCCAAAGCCTTATTTCCGTAGGTGATCTTCGTTACGACGGAAATAACGACGGAATCCATTACGTCGCTATTTTTTCGTTAGTAGTGAGTGTGACGACGGATTGTTATTATCCGTCGCTAGGCTACGACGGATGTGGCGACGGAAATTTGCGACGGAACGAACGACGGATACTTTCCGTCGCTATAGCTAACGACGGATTTAGCGATGGAATATGCATTTTGACCATATAGGACGGAACTTAAATTCCGTCGCTCATTCCGTCGCTAATTTGACAGCTTACCACCTGCAGCCTGCTGTTTTTCCAATTTCGCACCCCTCCATAGCAAAACTCAGAAATCCCAGCATCAAACAACAACAATTACTGGAAATAAGGATTACCAAACAACCAAGAATATTCAAATCACCAATAAACAAGTAAAATTCAAATAATATTTATAAAAATTCAACATAACTATCAAATTTAACTCACTTACATATTCATAAAACTTAAGTTTAATATATTGTTCTTCAATTCTAATTAAAAACTCAACAAGCCCCTTTAAATCCCGCCCCTCCTTCATCTCCACCGTCATCTCCATTTCCTCGTGGGAAAACTCCTCCATAAAGTCGGGTCATCTCTTCTCTAATCGATAATAATTCACGCGCTTGGGAAGCTCGAATGTCATCTAGCTCTTCTCTCAACCTCCGAATCTCATCATCTCGAGGGTCCCACATAGAATTGGTGCTAGCCCGTGTGGCCTGACTTGCATGTATTCGTGGTAGGCTCTGTGCGAGATCTCCAACACCATGAACACGATTCTTGGCATCATGTCCTCCAACTGTAGATAAAACCTCCCATACACCCTTGGGCAATAAATTTCGGAAGCCTATGGGAATAAGGCGTTGCA